AAAACCCAATATGGGTTTTTTTTAGAATAGATGAAATGTTCAGTTATTTGAATGGGGGAACCATACCATTTTAAAGTAAAAAATCAAATTAAAATTAACTTAATCCATTAAACTAGTTTTATTTGTTGAATGCTAAGAGTTGTTACTTCTCTATAATTATTTCATTAATAACATATTTCATTTGCAGCCTATTGTCATCTCACAGAATTGAAAACATACATAAAGTTTTACTAAAAAAGTTCAAAAATAATAAAAGATATTTGTTAATTGATAGATTCTTTTAATAAAAAATATAGAAATCTTGTTTGAAATTCAAAAATGAATACTTATCTTTTGGAGTATTTAAAGTGTATTTAGCAATTCTTCATTAATTGTTATTTAGTATATTTTTACAATTTCCTAATTACACCTTTGATTCCCTTCTTATGGCATTTAATAGCGTAAATGCAATTATTGGATTAGTGATAATCATATTTATTAGTTTAAAACTACTTTCTATAACATCTATTGATAAAAAAGATAAAAACAAATGGTTGTATTTTTATCAAGATTCCAAATCTGAATTTTGGGCTGCTAATTACAAATCCTTTTAGATCTTCAGAATTATGTTCTACATATTTACTATTGTTGTTGCTCTAGACTATCCATAAATACAATCTGTATTACTTTCAATGTCCTCATCTTTTTACCTAATTTACTTAATAAAATTTAAACCTCTATAGTCTATTTATGAATATGCAAAATTAATATCTAGAGAGGTTTTATTTATTCTAATTACAGGTTCATTTTTAATTTATAGTTTTGAATTTGATCAAGATAAAATGTTACTTTATGGATGGATTCATATTGCCCTTTTTTCCTTAATCTTAATTTCAAACTTAATCATTGATTTAATTGAATGTATTAATAAAGCTTGGAAAAACTATAAGAGAAAAAAAGAGTTATAAAAAAAGAAAATAGAATTATTTTATATAGTCAAAATAAATTAGCAAAAAAAATGAGAATATATGTCTTATTTAAATTTTAATTTTTCCCAAAAGTCCTCTAAAATAGCAAGAAGGTGTTCTCAACGTTTTTGTATTTAATTCTATACTTTTCATAACTATAATATTCTAGAGGCTACTGTAAGCATTGATTTTAAGAAAATAAATTTGTTGTTCCTTTTTATAATATTTATCTCTTTCACTTGAAATCCTTATCTTATGTATGAAGGATTTCTATCGAATAATTTTGAAGAGGAAAACGATAGGTCACCTAGAATACCATCCAAATGCTCGACATGTTTAAATAGCTAAAGAGACTTCTAATTAAAATTGTTTAATTCCAGGATAAAATAGT